CCGCTAAAGAGGAAAAGAATCAACAAAATCTGTGGAATTTCCAAAGTTGAAAATTATGACATTAGCTGGCATACATATCTAAAACTTTAATTATTGAAACAGTGATAAAGTACTGCATGCTGTAGCTTCATGATGCCATTGCTAGTGATTACTTTGATTTGTTTCAGAGGCATGAACTTAACCATTTTAGCCACAAACCTTACTGTTGTTTCCTTTACACTGGCAATAAACATTTAAAATCCTACTCTCTATCAAGAAAGTAACCTTTTCCCAGAACTATGTTGGTGTATTCTCAAACCAGTTTTTGCTTCTCTTGCAGTACACAAGCTAATTCTGATGTGAAGCAATCCCCGGGATGAGAGCCAGCTGCCACCATGAGGAAGTTGGTGGATCTTTACTTCCATTGTATTTTACAGGAAAGACTGGATTGAGGAAATATAAGGAAACCCTAGGTGGGGATGAGAACACATTAGCCTATTTCCCACTATTTCAGATGTATTCATCAGGAAATCGGTTTGCCCCATAGCCCTGGGTTTTCTTTTTCTTTTCTTTTCTTTTGCTTATCAGCCACAAATAGACAGGAACTACTCGAGTTCATTCTTTGGCTACACCTCTTTTTCACTAGACTCAACCTTGGCCACTCTCTCCCTATTCCCTAAACCAGGGGTCTTCAAACTAAGGCCCGCAGGCTGGATGCAGCCCTCTGGGGTCATTTATTTAACCCCCACCCTAAACCTTAGACTTAGTGTCACCCCAACTCTGAAGCAGCTTGAAGGCACACGGCAGCAACAATCCTAATTGATTTGACAATTTCATCAGCCAAAAGCAGACCCACACTTCCCACTGAAATACTGCTATGCTTGGGGTTTTTTTGGTTAAAATTGTTCTTCATTTTAAATGTTTTCTTGTTCTTTTTGCACTACAAATAAGATACGTGCAATATGCACAGGAATTCATTCATTTTTTTTTTCAAACTATGTTTTTTTCAACAGTCTGAAGGACTGCGTACTAGCCCTCTGTTCAAAAAGTTTGAGGATCCCTGCCCTAAACACAAGAAAGGACATTGGGTCCACCATCTGCCACTGAACATCAACATCAGGGAGAACCATAAGTATGTGGAGATTATTAAGACCCAGCACAACATCTTTACTTGTTTCAAAAAGCATCTTAGTGCCCGGGGGTCAATTAGCCAGTCATATAGTGCTGATGGTACTGGTGTTTTTTGTTGTTGTGTGCCTTCATGTCTGTTTAGACTTAGTCCAACCCAGAATGAAAGTGAAAGTTAAAGGTATTGTCGAAGGCTTTCATGGCCAGAATCACTGGGTTGTTGTATTTATTTATTTGTCTACTACACTTATATGCCACCCTTCTAACCCTGAAGGGGACTCAGAGTGGCTTATAAGTTATAATTGTTTCTTATTTGTGTGCTATTTCCTTTGGACTTCAATCTGATCTTCATCTTATACAATAAAGACACAAGGAGTCATTCATCAGTTGTTGCTATGGCTGGGCAGCCAGGCTGTTGAAGCACTCTTGCCATGAGGCTGTGGGGGCCATGGAGGCGCCCTGCCCAGGAGTTGTAAGGCAGCAGGGCCAAAGAGGTGTTGCTATGGTCCCTCTCAGGTGTTGCTATGGCTGGCAGTGGGCAGTAACGCCGTTGAAGCACTTTCGCCACGAGGCTGTGGGGGCCATGGAGGACTTAAAATCCCACAACTCCCAAACAGCCCCACACCCCTTCCATTTCCCCTTAAGTGGCTGAGGGGGGAAAGATGGGGCCCAAGGCTGCCAGGAACCATGGGAGTTGAAGTCCAAAACACCCTTGGTTTTTTGGGCTATATGGCCATGTTCTAGAAGCATTCTCTCCTGACATTTTGCCTGCATCTGTGGCAAGCACCAGAGGTTGTGAGGATGCTTGCCACAGATGCAGGTGAAATGTCTGCAACCTCTGAGGATGCTTGCCACAGATGCAGGTAAAACATCAGGAGAGAATGCTTCTAGAACATGGCCATACTACCCGAAAAACCTACAACAAACCAGTGAAAGTTAATCTCTTCCCATATAGACAAATATTCCCAGTGAGGCCTCAAAGGGAGTCTTTTATGTAGCACCATCCTAGTTGCAGCCTAATTGACTCTCTTGATGTTGGCATTTAGAAAGTTGGTAAGGATGGTTTTGTTGAACATTCAGTGATTAATATTCTCCATTCATTTTAGAAAGTTCTTCCCATTGTTGTGATACATTTATTTTGTCTGCTATACTTTAACCTTTATAATAGTTTGACGTCTTAATGGTTTTAAGAGCACTCATAGCTGAAAAGGCAATTCAAAACTAGATCAAATAAAATGAAATAATAATTACTTGCAGGCTGTTAAGGTATATGGCTACATTGCAGTAGGATCATCACTACTGGGTGTGCAGATGTGTGTGTTAAGGGGAAAAAAACGCATGGGCTAATAGTATCCACAGGCAAGGTAATCAGGGTTGATTAGTTTGGGTGACTCCCAGAGTAGTATAACTGGGGAAAGTTTGTTCCATGAGTTGGGGCTTATTTTATGTTTGTTCCTGGAAGCACTTGCAGAAGTTGAGCTTGCTGAACATTTGCTGGAAGCCTTGCTGCTCAGCATCCCTAAAACACTTTATCAAAAGGAGTTTCTTTGTTAGAGGCTTTGAAAATGGCCTGTGCTGTACTTCATTTGCACCTAATCCTTCTCATAATGAGAAAGAGTCTTGTCCTGTCTGAGATAAGTTTTTATGCACCACCTTCTTTGGACACCCCCCCCCCCCCTATGGGCTAAACTGGATAAGATAGTCTTATGCTTCACAACCCAGAGTCCTTAGCTTTAAAATAAGAACTCTAATTCATATTTATTGTCTCTGGGACTTATAGTTCATTAGAATTGATGTTATATTTTGATCATTGTTGGCATACCTTTATTGGAGCTCCCTTATCTAATGAAGCAGGCACTAATATACAGAGCTATCCATTATGCTGATCCTATTCGGGGGATAGGCAATTTTAAAAAGGTTCAGACACAAACTTGGAGCAAATTCATTGCCCTACTGACATGAGAGCCATCAGCCCCCATTGCTTATTGATGAATTGGATTGTGCCTATCATTGTTCCAGCTATGCAGGTAACTACATTGTATATTCCATAGCTGAATAGGCTCATGAATCCCAATATTAGGCACACTGACTGGCAGCAGTTTTTCAAGTTTCCTTCCTACTCCTTACTAGAGATACCAGGGACTGAATTTGGACCTTCAGTGTGAGTTCTTCTATGAACTATGGCCAATCCTTTTGAGATTTCCAAGAAAGATTTATGCACTATCCTCCCTGTATACCTTGTTGCTTTAAAAACTAGCAGAAAGCCCTGGGCGCTGCTTTGCCTGCAGCAAATGGCTGGGCTTGGGAAATTGTTGATGCCTTACCATATAGCTGCACTAATTCACTCATGAAATTTCTGAAGAAATAGGCTTGTGTTTTGTTCGATCCACGTGAGCCCATATGATGCAATAGATGGAGAATTGGGCGACTCTGGAGACCAGGGTTAGAAACCACAATGAGCCCAGGGAACCCACGGAACCCACACTCTCTTGGCCTCAGAGGAAGGAAAAGCCCTGTGATAGGTTCACCTAATGCTCACCATAAACCGGAAATGACTTAAAAGCACACAACAAGAACAACAAACAACTACATTTGGGTTATGCCTTATAATGTTATTTTTCCATTTGTTTTCAAGAAACCTGCACATGTAAACATTGTGGGATATTATACTATTTGATCTCTTTGACAAAATGGAATGTATACATTTTAGTAACATAGAGACTTTGATGACATATGTATTTCTAGTTTTTAACCCTAAAGCAGATATTTCAGAGGAGGCCCGGAAGAGGCTGAATGGGATGCAGGCTGAGCTGCATGCTATTGTTGTGTGAACTTTGAATCATTCAGAGAATGCAGGCCCCCAGTGTGACTCCACTTGTCACACTGATGGGCAGGGGACCATGTAATCAGGAATATGTGACTAATGGGATCAGATGTTCTTAATGGCTGCATCCCACCCTTGAAGAAAGCATTTCCCTGGTGGACAGAGCCCTCAGTTTAGTTTCTGGGCTTAGTTTCTGCTCTTCGCTGGAGGTATTTGAATTACTGCAAACCTAAAACGGGATGAAGTTTTTGTTTGCAGTCTATATTTGGATATGGCCTGAGAATGCTAACCAGGAGGAGATGGTTACCATCAACTGTTCTGTTCTTTAATTATAGCTTTGCTTGTTCACCTTCCCAAATCCTTCAGATCTTCCAAAAGGAAACAAGAGACATTTGAACTTGAGCTTTGCCGAAATCTTCAAAGGCCTATTTTAAATGGCTTTTCTTTTTTTTCCCTCTCCCTCCCAGAGAAAAAAAGTCTTAAGCATCCAATACTTATTTCTCTATAAAAGGGGGTTTTACTAGTGGGAAATGAAAAGAAGAAGAAAAAAAGAGGAAATAGGTAGAGTGGGAAGCTTAAAATTGCATCCTTATTGAACCCAACATCATGGTCATATTTCCTTAGAACATTTGTTTTTCAATCTCAGTGGCCAGACAATTCAGGTAGCTTTGAGATTCTTGAATTTATCTGAAAAGCAATGTAGCCTTTTAGCCTGTTTTTTCCTCCTCCTTGTAAGATTGCCAGATCATCATATTATTAGCCTGTCACCATTTTCTATTGTTTGTGACAGGTCTGACCTTAACATTTACACCCTTACATAACCTTTAAACCCAACAGCATCCTGCCCCCTGTGATAACATCAGGGTCAGGCTGGGGCCATGGGTGGCCATACATAAATCCAGACTTCTGGAAAATCCCTAAGCCGTGTAGCTGGAGAGTTGGTACGAATCGGTACTTGGGATAGAAAACCAAAGTACCATGCACAGAGTATATCCTTTTGACCAGCTAGGATAGTATTCATGTTCCTCATATTTCACAGAACCACAAAACAATGGAGCTGGAGGGTCATCTAGTCCACCTTCCTGCTCAATGAAGCATTGTTAATATAGCATGCCAGTGAAGCATCCTTCGCATATGTATGTTTCAGTGTCACACTATATTAGTGTCTCCTTAAACATAGCTACAGGAGAAAGCTGACTGCCTGCTAATGCAATCTGTTCAGCTTAGAAGTAACAAGTTACTAGTACTGCAGTTAGACACAACCAAGTTAATGGAGGTGTGATATAGTCATAGAATCATAGAGTTAGAAGAGACCTCATGAGCCATCCAGTCCAACCCTCTGCCAAGAAGCAGGAAAATCATGTTCAAAGCATGAGTCAGACTTTAAAAGTAACTCAAGGAGGGCAAAGTACAATATTTGCCTTCGAGTGGTTGTCAATTATGACAACCCCATGAATTTCATAGGATGTTCTTAGACAAAGAATTCCCAGAAATGGTTTGCCATTGCTTTCCTCTGACATATATCCTACAGCATATTGTATTCCTTGTTGCTCCCTCATCCAAGTACCAACCAGGCCTAAACTTGTTTAGCCTTTAAGATCAGAGAGGATCTGGAACCTTCAGGATGTTTTCTTGGCTGCTACTAAATATTATTTCAAAGGGCATTTTTAGGAGCATTGTCCTAGAACTTTTTCACATTTTATTCCATTCTCTTGTTTTGGAAAAGCAACCAAAAGTAATAAACCATATCAAACAATGCAAGTACCAATGCAACCTTTTAAACACACATAATATAACAAATAACTGGAACAAATCATGTTTTAAAAGTAATTTTCCCAACTGATAAGTGTTCCACTGTTCAGCTTATTTTACCATTGGAAGACCTCTCTGTTCAAGAAGCTTCACGTGCTCTATCAGTACATAGTGTTAAATATGCCTGTTGTGTTCTGTTTCAGGGGAGGGCACCCGGAGGCCTGCAAACAGGTAGGTTTGAAGGTTTGTAGTACAAACAGACAAAAGCTTGGAGTTTCTGTTGGTAGGAGATTTTCCGCTCACTTTGACAATGAATCCTACAAACCAACCCAACACCTTTTTCTGTGGCAGACCTGTAATGGAATCCTTACAAGTGGATACTAACAAATATATGTTTTTGAAGTCCTGCATTACTTATTAAAAGATATTATATCAGAGAGTGCTTTTGTTCCTTGACCAAGATGTTTTCATTTTCATTTTAAAAGATTGCTTCCTTTAGTCTTACTGGCAGTTACTCACATGGTGAAAAAAACATAGGAAGGAAATGTGATATTGTACCGTCAGGTATCCAGGTATTCTGCACCACAGGTTGAATATATATTTAATTCAAAAGGCAAACTTTGATTTTGCCATTGTATATATGGGACTCCATTTTACTCTGCCACTGTATATATTGGGACTTGAACATCCGTGGATTTTGGTATCCACAGGGGGCCTTGGACCCAAACTCCAGCAGATACCAAAGGTCCACTGTATAACATACATATACATATTTTTTTTCAACACTTTCAGTGGTATCTTTGATATTGTTCTGGAAGGTTGGGATGACCCTCTGGAGTAGTACTATGAAGGCTGAAGAAAATATAGAAAATCACATCATGGACACAGAAAAATCAGACACTATAGTTTTGTACCCTTTAGCCAATGGAGAGTAAGCCTGCATTGCCAAGTTCTCCTGAAGCCTTTATTTAGAAAACTGGGTTATCTTAAAAAATATTGATGGCAATTCATGAAGAAAAACGTACTTTTGATCAACTAATAATAAGCCTAGCAGCATGTAATTCTCCAGAAATGCGGAAATTACTTTTCTCATCAACATTAAAGTTAATAAAATGAAAGCTAATGAGCATTAGCTGATACTTATTTGTTATTAAAATAAGTTAAATAAAAATTTACAAAATAAATCGGGTTTAAAATTTCTCCAGTTAGCTATAACTTGGAGATCAAGTATAGTATTTGGTTATGAATATGTCTGAGGGCTACAGCTTCTAATGATTAATCAGATGGAGCAATTTACTTTTAATTGATTAAAAATCCTTTTACAATACAATCCTATGCTCATCTATTCATATGTAAGTCCTACTGAATTCAGTGGGTTTATTTACAGGTCTCTATAGGACAGCTCCCAATTGACTCAAAGCCATCACTGATTAACTATGCATTTTAATTTTTTAATTAATTATTTTAATGTAAATAACATTTGCAAATGTCAGACATCATCTCAGACAAGGGGATATTAATTCTAAAATAGTGTCTGTTTTGACATACATATGCACCATCTTCAAAACTATCGTTTTGCAATGGAGAAATTATGGCTAAAATAATTTATTTTCACTTAATTCATTAATTGACTGAACTGGAGAGAACTGCATTAAAAACACTCTCAAGATACTTAAAGAGAGATGCTCACTGCAGAAGGTGAGAAAGAATACTGAAAGTTATCATTTCATCCATCTAATTTACATGTGTACATGCTTTGATTTTTTTCTTAAGTTCTTAGCAATGGGTTATAACTCTAAAAATCTATTTACAAGGATGTTTAGTGAGGCATCCAGTAATATATATACACACTGTGTCATTTGTCAACATTGGTCTCACAATTGTATTTGTACTTATTTAGTAGCACTTTGAATACTGGCTTAGTCTTCAATCTCCATTTTTATCCATCCCGTGGACAGAGTGTCCACTAGTGTCCTCTTCTTCTTCTCTGGTTCTTACTTGGAGGCTTTAACAGGCCCTCTCGGTACTTAGTACTTGAATGGAACAGTCGGACCATATCATGGTCTTTATTATCCAGTACCCGAGGCAAAAATAGGGAGGATTTCTGGGTCCTACGGGTTTTGAAACTCCTTCTAGGTCGTCCTTTTCCATTGATAGAGACATACCAGAGTCTCTCAGCACTAGCTTTGCGTTTGCTGCTGGCTCCACTGGGCACAGTCCGGTACAAGCGAGATGCATAGGTATTGTAGCCTAGCTCATGGATCCTTTCCACAAACTCACATTCTGCGTTGTAGGTCTCCTGCAAAGTAAGAATGATCAAACCATCACTTCCAGCAACACCTGCAACTAGGACACTCTAAGACATTTGCAACAAACATTTAATGGATGCAAAAGGACATTCTGGGAAAGTAAAAATTACAGTTTCCCCTTGATATTAAGTCTAGTCGAGTGAAACTCTGAAGGGTGGTGCTCACCTCTACTTCTAAAGCGTTGTCTGTAAACACCTCCTAGTTCATGTGGCTGGCATGACTGCATGGAGCACAATTTCCTTCTCGCCAAAGCAATACCTATTGATCTACTCACATTTGCATGTTTTCAAACTGCTAGGTTGGCAGAAGCTGGGGCTAACAATGAGAGCTCACCCCGCCCCATTGATTAGAACCGCTGACCTTCTGGCTAGCAAGTTCTGCAGCTTAACGGTTTTGCCTGCTGCACCACCACGGCCTCATACTTTTTGGATTATATAGCCCCAAATCCCTTAGCACAACATGGCTAGCAGCCATGCTGGCTGGAAAATTCTGAAAGTTTTTGTTTAACAAAGCAACTTTTCCAAGCTCTGCACAGCAGAAGGGCCACTGTGTCAAAAGCACCCTTCATATAGTTCACAAGGTTATTCCTGAAGTTCTCTTGGAGACAAATATATGCATTAATATGCCAACTGGAAAAGACTTAGTATCTGTTAGATGGAAGGACAGGCCTTCCAGAGAATTATAGCCACATTTTTGTTCCATCAAATCAGTGCCCATAGAGGTATACAATTTAAGCATTTCAGTAGAATGGATTCAGTTTGTTATGGATGCATTCCATCTTCTACTTCACAGATCTTCATACTTTTCACGCCTGGAGCTCAGAGTCCCTATTAGGTAACAACCTAGAATGTGGCTGCTTTTGATCTAGCATGATATGGTTGAAGAATGCTTTAAGAATTCTCAATTAGCCCAGCAGAGGGAGTCCATAGGTCCATTCTCCACCATGATGATTATGGTTCAGATAAATCTCAATTGGGACCTAGCTATGACCACAGTACAAGCTTGTATCCAGGGCTTCACATGGATATTAGCAAGCCCTATTGAAGAGAAGAACTCCTGTACCCTGAATACCATAGAGTTGCACCAGAGAAGCTAGAAAATGCCTAAACAGGTCCGTATTTTATTAGGTGTGGATAAATGAAACTGCTGATACGTGAATATCCTGTGAATATAGGGGCATATTGTATAATAACTATGAATCAAAAGGGCCATAGATATCTATCTAGACTGTATTGACTTCAGCAGGGATTTCTTTGGGAATGTATGTATTTTAACCAGGGCAGAAATATCCACTTTGCTATTTGGGTGTGTGCCTTCAGATTGCCTGTTGACTTATGGCAGTCTTTATAGAGGCAATTATTAATATAGTCTATCCACAAGGAACCTGAGGGTTTGTTGGGGATATAGCCTTACATCTGAACATTCTGTTTCTGGATGACCAGGTTACCTCCTTAGTAATCTAAAGAGATGAAAAGAGCGAAATGGCAGGGATGATGAGTAGTGCAATTGCAGGGAAAGATTTCACAAATGTGACTGGGGAAAAAAGGCTAAAGATAATATTATTGGATTTTCTGAGACAATTGTTGCAAAGAAATATTACTTTGCCTGCCTTGTTATATCTGCTCAGACATAGTTGAGTGCTAGGCTGACCTTGGAAGCCACTGCACTGATGCTCACCAAGGTGAGCTTGGTACCAGTTTTGTTAAGTTATATTATATGTTTTTGTCAAGTTATGTCATATTGAGTTGTAGGTTTTTCAGGCTATATGGCCATGTTCCAGAAGCATTCTCTCCTGATGTTTTACCTGCATCTATGGCAGGTATCCTCAGAGGTTGTGAGGTCCTCACAAACTCTGAGACACACAACCTCAGACTTCACAACCTCTGAGGATGCCTACCATAGATACAGGCAAAACATCAGGATAGAATGCTTCTAGAACATGGCCATACAGCTCGAAAAACTTACAACAACCCAATGATTCCAACCATGAAAGCCTTCAGCAATACATTACGTCATATTATAAGTTAGGTTAAAAAGCAGCAGATAAGTGGCCAACATCCGGCAACACAATGTAAATCCCTATATCCAATGTGCAATAAATGAACTTGACCAATATTCATGGGCTATGAGCTTTGGTTATTATTTGGATGGGAGACGTCCAACAAATACCAGGAGCAGGAAGCTGTATATCAGAGGAAGGAAATAGCAAACAACTTCTTGGGTTTTCCTTTCATTAGAAAACCCTATGAAATTCATGGGGTGTCCTTTAAGTCAACAGGCCACATATATACAGCCACACATATGCAGACATGTGACCACATCTACAACCCTGTTTCTGCAACCTTAATCTAACTGGTCATTGCACATTGGACAAAAGCACCCCACCACCTCTCTTTGGAAAGCCACCAATGGGATTCTGGTTTTTCATATCCTACAATAGGTGTAGACAACGTCTATTTTCAAGATTGGAGCAATTTTTGTCTCTGCCCCCACTTTGTAGGATTACTCTAGTGATTACACTGGTGTGCCATGTAGTTTCAATTTCAGCCTCTCTTTGGGTTCTTTTTATTTTGTGGGCTGCATGGTAGGCTTGGGTGTGCACTTTGAGCAGTTTTGAGTTGCTTGGTAGAGGTTAGGGTGGGGAAAATTTCCTTGCAGATATGGAGTGCATCTACACTGTAAAATTAATGCAGTGTGACACCACTTTAATTGCCATGGCTCGTAATAGGGAATAACGAGAGTTTTAGATTCACAAGGTCTTTAGCTTTCTCTGTCAAAGAGTGCTGGTACCTCAGCAAACGAAAACTACCAGTATTCCATAACACTGAGCCATGGCAGCTAAAACAGTGTTGAATTCAATTTGTTCTGCAGTGTAGATGCACCCATCATTAGAATTAACTTCCCAGGGAGTGAAAAGACAATACAGCAGCTGACAGGATAGAAAAGCTCTCTCTGCTTGTTATTTCTATGAGGTGGACCCTTCTCCAAATCTACTCTGGATTGCTGAGGAGATCCTTGGGCACTGATTCTGAGAGGAAAGGAAAAGCATCATAGCAGGGGACAAAAGGAGAAAGTCTCAGTGCCTAATGGGGATTCACTCTCTGTACTGCCTTTTTAAAAAGTCCCCTCTATAGTCTGAATTTAACTTCTGGCAATGAAACAGCAACAGCTTTAGGCAGCTAATCTGTCAGTTCTATCATCTTATTGTTAAAACTGCACCAATCTCAAATGCCAGTCCTGAGTAGAGTGATAATGTATCATAAACTCTCTCAACCCACCTTGGCCAAGGCCTGATTGCAAGAATCCACCTGGGAAGCTCATGTGCTCCACTCTGAGTTTCTTGGAGGAGAGGGAAGGATGAAATCAAAATAGAACATAGTGAAATGAAATGAAATGAAAGCCATCAGCCATGAACCACATGGTTTAAATCTTACTCAGATGGAGGATGGATTTTTTTCTTGTTGAAAGCTCCTGCTCTCTCCCATGGTTTTGCCTGGTACTGACATTCAAGCATTTATTTATTTATTTATTCATTTAATACATCTATCTCTCCTCTTCAATGGACTTAAATAATGAGTATTAGACCTCCCCTATTCAGCCTTCAACTGCATTAGCAATACAGCAGCTCTCCAACATGTAGTGCCTGAGTTTGGAACATAGTATCATACAATGCATACTATGGAGTACAAAAGTATACAATCATTTATTTAAAAATAACCTGGAAGAAAACTTGATTCAATTTATCACATTCTTTCAATGGGTTAGTAGCTTGAATGCTCTACCTCTGGCATTATATCTCAAATTACTTGACACACACTGAGAGCCCATTCATTCCCTTGTGCACATGGAGCTCCTATTGACATCCCTGGGAGACTTTTCTTCTGAAAAGCTTCCTAATCATATTGTCAATTTTCGACTTCCTTACCTCTTTACGCTCATTCACCTGAAGAAGTGATTTACAATCTAAACTGATACAAATATAGGTTGTTGTAAATGTTCATCCTTGCCATGTTGCTCACTGTCCTTTTTTAAAAGTCTGCAAAGCAGAGATTATTTGGTTTGCGTGATAAGCAGTGTACACAACAGAAAAGCAAATGTGCTTAGCACTAGCCTTCACGTTCTAGCTAGAGGCCTCCAAGTGTTGGCTGCCTAATCCCTCAAATAAAACCAAAAAGCCGATTTTTGTTCTCTATAAATGATTCTTCTATGATTTCTGCCCTTTTGATTACAATGGCCTTTAAATCCCCATTGAAAATGACTGGAGCTCCCATGGTGGATGCCGTAGTTAAAATGCTTCTGTTTTTGAAATAGGACTTACTGAAGCATAAAGTCTGCCTCTTTTGTTCATGGCCAGGTATCTGCCGGAGAAACAGCCTTTGATAGCCACAATCCCAACGTCCACAGCTGTTATCTCTAGAATACCTAAAACAGAAACATAAGGATATTTTTAGTTGACTCAAGTACATTTTACAATTATGAGTATAATTCTTCATTCATTTTTAATCAACGTCTATAGCTATATTTTACTGGTTTTTATTTGTTTGTGCCAATTATATATGTCTGGTTTTATGTAAATGTGTTATTGATTTAATATTGATGTACTGCATTTTATGTGTTGTACGGTACCAGTGTATACCATTTTGTAAGCTTCCCAAGTCCCTATGGTAGATGGTGGCAGGGTATAAATAAAGTTTATTAATATTATTATCATCATAATTATTATTGGGTTGTTGTAGGTTTTTTGGGCTATATGGCCATGTTCTAGAAGCATTCTCTCTTGACATTTCCCCTGCATCTATGGCAGGCATCCTCAGAGGTTGTGAGACCTCACAATCTCTGAGGATGCCCGCCATAGATGTGGGTGAAACATCAAGATGTGGGTGAAACATGCTTCTAGAACATGGCCATATAGCCTGAAAATCCTACAACGACCCAGTGATTCTGGCCATGAAAACCTTCAACAACACATTATTATTATTACTATTATTATTATTATTAACATAACAAGATGAGTCCACAGCAAACAAGATAACTCTGCTGGCTGTTGTATTGGATCACACGTCAGACACTTCCCAGGTGTCTAGGGCTGTGTGATGTATCGGTGAATAATGCATGCAGATCCCAGTAAGGTGGCCTTCTGCAGGCCTTTTGTCAGTGCCTAAAAGTGCAGGCCAAGGTCTTTAGGCACTGCACCCAGTGTGCTGATCACCACTGGGACCACCTTTACTGGCATATCATTATTATTTGAAACACAACAAGGTGAGTCCACAACACACATTCTACTGGCTGTTGTATTGGATCACACGTCGGACACTTCCCAAGTATCTAGGACTATGTGATGTATTGGCTTTATTATTATTATTACTATTATTATTATTATTATTATTATTATTATTATTATTATTATTGCCATTATTATTGCTATTATTATTTATACCTTCAGAGCACTTTTACATCTTGGGCATTTTGAGAGCAAACACCTGCTGATTTCATCAGTATCTTGGGTGTCCACTAAGTAACACACAGATTGCATACAAGAAACATTCCCCAGGCCAGAGATGAATAAAAGCTCTACCCATATATCAGATCAGTGCAGAATTTGAGATGTCCTAACCCAATGCATCCACAATCAGTACAGCACTAAAAGATATCAGAACTTCACTTTTAACAGAAGATGAAACAAAAAAGATTAGAATAAATTGGACATAATTATCAGCTGTATCCAGCACAGAACACGAATATCAAATCTATATTTTTCTTGGATCTCAATTAAGCTGGTTATGTTCATTCATCACAATGCTGTCCTCCTTCTGGAAAACACTGTGCTCAGTGCCACAAAGTAATTGGCATGACTTGTTTCTAAACTCACCACTAATTTCCAGTTAACAAATATGACAACACACAGGAGAGCAAGAGCATAAGAACTGTTTGAAGCAAACACTTACTTACTAGCAAATCCCCAGCTGTTTGATTGAGACTGAACTGCTTCAAGAGAGAAAGATCTGACATTGAACTAGAGGGTCACCTAATCCTATATGTCTATAAAAAGTTTAAATCCCCTTTAATGCCTTTCTTGGGGACACAAGAGTGCTTGACTTACTGAAACAAACCACAAAGCTGCCCATTTCAATACAATACTCTTGCTAAGGTCTCCAGAGGACCAACTGGAGTAAGATGAGTGGATGTAGCATCGCAGAGCCACTATGGCACCATGAAAAGAGTTTTGTCATTTACAAAGTCAGCATGGCCCTTGGGGGAAAGGACAATGCTTTTGTCTAGGCTTGATTCAAAGAAAGGGACTACTTCAGCCCTTCAAAGGGAATGTCTCATAGCCCAGGCAGGTGGGATAAGAAAAGCAAAGTTATGCCTCTCTTCTCTCTGAATACTGTTTCACATATTGCATTCAGCAACAATCGCAGGGAGGTTTGCCACAATTTGTATGCCTAAGGGAATATACAAGAGGCAAATGCTTGCTCTCCGATCAAGGCATTCGTGTATATTTATGTGTGTGTGTGTGTGTGTGTGTGTGTATATGCCAGAAGGAGAGAGAGGAAGGGAGTAAGGGGTTGTGTGCATGTTATGTGGAAAGGTCTAATGGGTGTTTTATGTGGAAAGGTGTCACATCCAGTAAAATGAAACAACTGCGAGATGCTATAGGAATGATTCATGCATTGAATCATGATTTTCACCTTTGATTATGAGAAGAGGAGTTTAATTTTCATTACTATTGATACATTATTAATTTATTGGTAAGTGATATGTGTGTGTGTGTAAATCTCCTGCATTGATAGGGTCATGGAAGTACACCACTACTGGAATTCTACATGGCATAACATCATGGATACACAAGATAAACAATATGCTAGCATATCCTGAGTCACACCTTTATCTGAGGAGCTGTGAAGAGGTGGAAATGGGAGATATCAGAAATGGCTGGGTTCTTATTTGATTCTGAAAATTCCTTTGTCTTAGCTCTTGGTTCCCAAGCTGGCAAACCATTAGACCAACAAAAGAGTCAAAACATGGACAAGAGAGTCAATACATGATGCCCAAAATGTTCTCCTTCCCACACCATCTCAACACAGTACATGATCCTTACAAATGTGAAGAGGACTCATGTGCATAAAGAGGCAGCTGGCCACACCACTAATATCATTTTGAGTGGCTTCCCTTGACCCACTTCTGAAATCCATGGGCTAAGTGTGAACATGTTAGCCAAGAAAACCTATACCTGTAGACTTCAGGGCTTCAGGTTCTGCAAAAGTCCAGTTATCTAGACACTGCAACATATAATCATGGTATGTGTGAAATTTGGCCTCTTCTAGCAAGGAATATGTGAGGGAAAATATATGAAAGAGTAAAATTATGCTGGTATACATGAGTTGCTAGCATGGTAGGACCATGGAAGTACCTAGTGCATGACAACATGCCTGGATGCTATCATTCAACAATATTGTATTTGTGATATTTGCTCAGTTCAGCCGGTTTTGCACACTGAAGCTACCACTGAGCATTTGTATGTGTGAACTCATCCTTGAATATCTAATGAAAAACACCCCCCCCCCCCCAAAAAAAATCAACCTCTCTTTTTCTCTTTGCTGTGAAAGCAAAAGGCATCCTATACATAATATCTCTTAGGTTGGAATTCAGAAAAAGGTTAATAGCCATGTGTCCTAATGCTGTAGTTTGAGATTTAGCTTTCTTATGGACTGGAAGATTCCTTTTTAGCAATCAGAAATTTAGGATGATAGGTCTCTCTCTCTTTCCAAAAGATTACAGCAATCAAACTGGAGTTATGATATATGTCTGTAATATGTATGTGAGGTATGATCAAATCAACGGAACTGAAAGCATATTTTCATTCACTGGGGATCCTCTCACTCTCTAGCCTTGGTGGCAAACACTGCTTGCTACAGAATACATTCAAGAAAATGTGGTACCATGAATTTGGTATTTTTCCTGCATGTAGAACCTGATTCATAATTTTCTTAAGATGTGACTTTAATTCATCCTCTAATTTTTTATAATAGACTGCTGTCAATCCGTCTGGTCCTGGGGCTTTATTCAGCTTTAATTTTTTAATTGCTCTCTCTATTTCTTCCTCGTTAATATCTTTATTCAGTGCTTCCCTTTGATCGTCTGTCAGTATTTTAATTTTTTGTTTCCCTAAATATATGGAGATGTCCCAAAAGGAGTTTTCAAAGGTACTCAAAATTCACTGCCAGAGAATGCATTCATTGAGGAGAGATAGTAAGTAATCACACACACACATTCAATAATGCCATGGTGCTGTCCAAAGATGTGTACCATCCTCAAATGCCATTTTTGTGAAAGGATAGTATTATTTAAAATATACAGTAAAAATGCATACCTCTATTAATCTTGTGCTATAATTGTACAATGTGGCTATATCTCGAATAATTTAATGTATATCTTATTTTCCCCACAAGACTAGAACTCAATCTAATTTCATTGATTTGCAAAATGACTTATCTTGGGTTCGTTCATGCCATTTGTACACCATAGGCACAATTTGCAAATGGATATGTAAACTCTTTCCACTGAAAAAGAGTTTTGTCTGAGGCGTATGAAGCCATTAAAAACTCTTGTCTGTGATGTTGCTATCCATACATGTATGCCATCTTTGTCAAGGTATGAAGATGCACACCTGAATTGATTTGCCTTGATGGAAATGTTGTCCTTTTGCATAGACTTTCTTGGATCTTATCTCTCTCTCTCCTAGGTGCTATTTCCTTACTAATCTTGGCAGTCTATTAAGAAAAGCACAAGCAGGTGTCATTTCCTCTACCCTAAATACCTTCACTCCTTTAAACACAAATCAAACAAGGTTAACAGGAAGAAAAGAGGGAAGGAGAAACCAAACAAACCAGTTAAGATGAACAGACAAGTGTGAAAATCATCTCCAAACGTTATTTACAACCAGCAGATTCAAAGACTAAAGAATCCTGTGAAGTCACACCTTTTAAGATGGATAAACCAAGTGACAGCCGCTGGGCTTGTCTATTTGCAAATTCTGGCTTCTCTCAGTGATGCTCCAACCCTCAGAGGGAATGCATTCTCAGAGGGATGACAATAGCATGTAAAAGAAAGGGATTTGAGCATAGGATTTCAAGGAGCCCAAATGAGAGAGACCTATCCTGGAGAAGAGAAGGTTTGTGGAACTAGTTTGTTTTCTACAGCTCCAAAAGACAAGGACATGGAGCAATGGCTTCAAACTTCAGAAAAGAGATTCAACCTAAACATTAAGGAAATATTCTGACTATACACTGCCTTGGAGCATGGTGGGAATACTCTCTCTGGAAGTTTTTTAAACAGATGCTGGATATCCACCTACTGCAGTGGTTCTTAACCTATGGGTCCTCAGATGTTTTGGCCTCCAACTCCCAGAAATCCTAACAGTTGGTAAAGTGGCTGAGATTTCTGGGAGTTGTAGGCCATAACACCTGGGGGCCCATGGGTTGAGAACCACTGCTCTACTGGGACTGCTTTGGCTGTGTGGTAGGAGTAGGACTGGATGACCCTTATGGTTTCTTCCAACTCCATGATTGAGGGGAAAAACTCCTGAGTTCTGTGCACCTCTTTCTTTGGTAAGGAAAAAGAAAGTCATGAAAATAAAACATGTTTGCTGGAATTCCTAACAGCCTGTTTCCTTGTGCCCCTCACTTTCTAGCCACCTGGGAAGAGAAAAGCTTGCTAGGAGGGTATATTTAGAAGCTGCTTTTCAAAACTCCTCATATGACTCCCCAAGAAGATCTCAGTCCTATTGGTTCCAGATTTGAAAGAATCCTAATGCACACCTGAAGCTTATTTGGCATCATGCCCTCATTATTTATTTTTTTTACATAAAGGGGATTTTTATGCCTTCTGGTTCATTGTTTGGGGGAGATGCTGAAGCCTGTTCAGAATGGATAGGTTTCTAAAACAAATATGTTTCTGTTGTGTGCATTTGAGTTGTTCCCAACTTATGGCAATTTTAAGGATGACTAAACTGAGGCTGTCCTACTTTAGTGATATCATGAGAAGACATGGCACTAATTCTTGGTAAGGTAGAAGACAGTAAACAAAGAGGAAGACTCTCCAGATGGAGACACTCTTCATCACTCTAGAGAATGAACCCACTTTCAATCCGGTTGCTGCCTCCTGCAGAATTCTGGGGTTTGCAGTTTAGTAAAGCTGTTAAAGACTCCTCCCTAAACTACAAACCCCAGAATTCTGCAGGAGGCAGAAACCGGATTTAAAGTGGGTTCCTTCTCTAGTGTGATGAGGTGATTAGTCAAGGAAGTCACAAGCCCTGAGTCTCCAAGACCTGCGCAGGGCTGCTGAGGGCAGAGTGACTTGGATGGAGTGACTTGGTTGCAATTAACAACAAAGACAACCCTATTATGGGATTTTCTTGGCAAGCTTTACCCATTGTTTCCCCCTGATGCTGAGAGAATGTGACTTGCCCAAGCCACCCTCTGAATTTCCATGGTCCTAGTCTCCCAGAGGCCCAGACAAACCACACCACATCGAAGGATTACTGGGTCTCTGCCAGACTGCCTGTCAATTAACTTCCACCTCTAGACAGATGTCTTGCAGAGTGCAGGGAGAAAACCTTTTGCACCTGGTCCAATGCAGGCATCCCTTGTTGGTTTGTGGCCGGTCTTTACAATCCTGTTGTCAACACAGCTGAGGTGTAAGCCACTAGGGATAGAGGCAATACACACACACACACAAAAGGGTGGGTCAAAAAGTAATGCCTCCGCCACTCTAACTTTTATTTCTTTCACTATGCATCATCTGATACTTACTCTACTGATATAGCCTGAAGCTACAAGAAAGAGTTGTCATTGAATTTCTGGCAAAAGATGATTGTGCACCTAAAGAATTCCATCATCACTTGAAGAATGTTTATGGGGATGCCCCCTTCTGACTTTTACCTGTCTGGATCTCTGAAAGACAGTCAATGTGGTTTCAGAATCAATGACCTGGATGACGTTAAAACCACTTTAAAACCATGGGTCACGACACAAGACGATGATTTTTTCCAAAATGGGTTTGATACCTGGGTTCAACAACGGCGCAAATGCGTACAAATGGATGGTGACTATGCTGAAGGGCTGTTTTGTGTAGAGGATCGTTCAGGCTATGATCTGTAGCAACTTCTACTGCTATATGTTCATTCATAACTTTCTGACACAGGAGGCAAAACTTTTTGACCCACACACATATATGTATGTGTGTGGGTCAAAAAGTTTTGCCTCCTGTGTCAGAAAGTTATGAATGAACATATAGCAGCAGAAGTATGCTGCTATAAGTATGCAGCAGAAGTATATATGTATGTGTGTTTGCATATGCATACACACACACACACACACTCATCTCAAGGGTGATGGGCATGGCACCTTCCAGATGCTTCTGGATTGCAGCTCCTGTGGCAATTTCCTGGCCCCTGCCTTCTCCCAAGCAAGGCTGGAGGATGGCACCCGTGGGCTCTGTTTTGACACCCGTGGGCTCTATTTACAAGCCAATCTACTTCAATGGCTACAGGGAGCGGCCGCTGTGACTTCCCCATCCCCAGGGCCGGGCTTGGATTGGAATCGACTCATTCCCGACACGTTCCCCTCTAGGAAAAAACCTCCCCATTCCATTTCTTTCCCGGGTGGGTCTCTCCCGTCCCTGGGCTGCTACTACTCACTGAAGACGCTGTTCTTCTCGAGGGTGCCGTTGACGCGCCCGCTGGCGTGGATCTGGAGGTGGTACTTGGTGGCGCAGAAGAGCTTCCTCCGCCGCGGCGCCCCGCCGAGGTGCTCGTAGACCCCGCCGCGCCCGCCCGCATCCCGCCGCCCGCGCCCCTCGGCCTCGGCCTCGGCCCCGCCCCGCCTCGCGCGCCCCTCCGCCCGGGCGCACACCGCCCCCTCGGGCCCCCGCGAGGCCTCCCCGAGCCCTGGAAGGCTGAGCAGGAGCAGGAGCGCGAGCCCCGGGGTCAACATCGTGGCATGACGGCCGCCTCCGCCCCATCAAAGGGCGCCCATCCGAGAGGGCCGTCGGGGCTGGGCTACCACTCCGCCGGGTTTCCCCGCCCTCCTGCTCGTCTTCCCTCCCTCCCGTCGGTCTGCCTCAGCTCTCCTTCCAGAGAGGCCTGGCGCTTGGACTGAGCGCTCCCGTCTCAGGGCTCCCCAAAGCCCCACTGCATGCAGGACACACAGAGAGAAAGAGGGGGAGAGAGAGAGGCGGGGGAGGTGGGAGGGAGGAGGAAAGGGGGACGGGGCGGCAGGGACCCCCCAAATGGAGCCAGGGAAACGGCGGAGGGGCGCGAGAGAGGCCGCCTCTCCTGACACAGAGGGAGCACAGGCCGGAAAGGCGGGGGCACCAAACAGGGAGGGAGGGTCAAGAGCCGGGGGAGCCTCCCAGAGTCCAGCAAAGGTGGCATCGCCTCCTGCCCACGCAGAGAGAGAGAGAAAGAGACAGACTCACGGACTGAGTGACAGACCGTGTCCTTTTCGGACCTCACCTGCTCATTTGTATTTCCCCCCAAACAGAGAAGGAGGACAGGGTGTTTCTTCTCTCTCCCTCTCTCTCTCTCTCTCACACACACACAACACACACACATTCTCTCTCATTCTCTCAATCTCTCTCTAACACACACCCATTCTCTCTCGCTCTCCTTCTCTCACACACACTCTCTCGTTCCTTCTCATTCTCTCTCTCTCTCTCTCTCACACACACACACATTCTCTGATTTTCTTGTTATTTCTGTCTCTCTCACACACATTCTCTCTCTCATTCTCTCTCGTTCTCTCTCACACACACTCATTCTCTCATTCTCCCTATTTCTGTCTCTCTCTCACACACACACACACATTTCTCTCACACACTCATTCTCTCATTATCTTGTTCTCTCTCACACACACGCACTCATTCTCTCTCTCATTCTCCCTCGTTCTTTCTTTCTCTCACTCACTCTCATTCTCTCTGGTTCTCTCTCACACACACATTCTCTCTGTCTCTCTGTCATTATCATTCTCTCTCTCACACACACACACAACCATTCTCTCCCTCATTCGCTCTCTCTCATACACACACTCATTCTCTCTCTCTCTCGTTCTCTCTCTCTCACACGCATATTCTTTCTCTCCCACACACTCTCATTCTCTCGTTCTCTCTTTCACACACAATTATCTCCCTCATTCTCTTTCTCTCTCACACACACATTCATCCTCTCTCTCTCTCTCGTTCTCTCTCCCTCACACACACTCATTCTCCTTCTCTCTCACATACCCATTCTCTCTCTCTCTCATTCTCTATCATTTTCTCTCCCCCCCCCCCCCTCTTCTTTTCCCACTTTTACGTCCATTTTCGGAGAGGAAGCGCACCCCCAATCCCGTCTCCCCGGGATTTCTGTGTGCTCTGTTGGTGTTTTTCAGAAGACATGGGTTCGAGCCAAAGAGGCGGGCGGCAAAATAAGCCCGGCTCAACCACACGAGCCTCCCTGGATTAGCCCCGCAGCCTTGGGGGAGTTCAGCTGTTTCCCTTTGTCCGGAGCGATGAAAGAAAACCACTCACGGCTGCATCCATCCCACTGATAGGATGTCCGGGGGAAGGGCAAGGGGGGGGGGGGGCTGGAGACGTGGCTGTGAAGAATCGGATCTACAAGCTGATCCGGTGTAATGACTTGAAAATGGTCGCGGTAACGCGTTGGGATCGCCGCTGTCCACTCAATTCCGCTAAATAGATTCAATAAGGGTGTATGTACACCAGGATGGGCCAACTTGGGCCCTCTAGGTGTTTTGGACTTCAACCCCCACCATTCCTAACAGCCTCAGGCCCCTTCCTTTTCCCCCTCAGCCGCTTAAGCGGAGGGCCAAAGTTTGCCCAGGCTTGCCTTAGGAATGGTGGGAGTTGCAGTCCAAAACCTAGAGGGCCCAAGTTGGCCCATGCCTGATCTACACAGTAGGACAGCAAAGGATATCATCGCTTTCCCTCTTTTTGAAAGGGCCAAAGAGCCCATCTTTCAGCCACCTGGAAGCGGGGATAAAAGGAACGGCGAGGCGCCCGCCCTGAGACACCCAACCCGCATTGAAAGCCGCCCTCCTGTTCCCACGGTCGCAGGTAGAATTTGATCTTGACAGATGCCTCACCTGAAGAGCAAAAAAGCCGGGCACGAAAAAGATTCTAGGGTTACACAATGGTCTCAGGTGACTAGGGCTGCTGCTTTCTTTAGCTCGTATGTCGCTGCAGCCGAACCTTTGGGGGATTCGGAACCCGTTCCAAGTCTGAACACAAAATGAAGACATCGAAAGGAAAAGGATTCTGCCGGACTCCTGTCCCTTGGTCCCTTTCCTTCTTTTTTCAGAGAAACGAAAAATAGAAACGACTTTCTGATCTCACAACTTCTGAGGGTGCTTGCAGGCGAAACGTCAGGAGAGAATGCTTCTAGAACATGGCCATATAGCCCGAAAAACCTTCAAGAACCCAGACTTTCTGACCCTTTCCCCTGGAAAGAAAAGACAAAGATCCACCCAGAGGATCCCCATCAAGGGAACCACTGACAGCATAGGGAAACTGACGAGGAAACACAACCTACAAACTATCTACAGAACCACTTATTTTTTTTCTTATCAAAACCATTGCATAAATTTGTATAAAACCGATAAAAAGAGAAAGAGTGCAGGCAGCTAAATATCTTTGGACCAAAAACGTGCAACAGCAACGGCATTGTCAGTATCCTCCAATAATTCTTCCTCTGTACATGAGGCGGGGCATAGTGGACAAGCATACAGATGCAGAGTTGTCTGTTCTGCTCCACAGTCACACAAGGTGTCGGATTCTTTTAGGCTGTGCCATTTAGCCAGGTTGTCTTTTGATCTGCCCACTCCACTTCTGAGTCTCTTCAGGGACTTCCAAGTTGCCCATTCTTGGTTTGCCCCTGGAGGAAGACCCTCGTGGGGGGGGGAGGTCATCCAGTTGGGATTTCCTGGTATAGATGCCCAGAGGGATACCCTTGCTGTTGCTGGGTAATTCATTGTTAATTTAATTTGATGTAATGCTTGTGTGGAGGGATATTATATGTGTTGTTGTTCATTCGTTCAGTCGTCTCCGACTCTTCGTGACCTCATGGACCATCCCACGCCAAAGCTCCCTGTTGGCTGTTACCACCCCCAGCTCCTTCAAGGTCAATCCAGTCACTTCAAGGATGCCATCCCCATCCATCTTGCCCCTGGTCGGCCCCTCTTCCTTTTTCCTTCCATTTTCCCCAGCATCATTGTCTTCTCTAAGCTTTCCTTTCTTCTCATGATGTGGCCAAAGTACTTCAACTTTGTCTCTACTATCCTTCCCTCCAATGAGCAGTCGGGCTTTAATTCCTGGAGGATGGACTGGTTGGATCTTCTCGCAGTCCAAGGCACTCTCAGAACTTTCCTCCAACACCACAGCTCAAAAGCATCGATCTTCCTTCGCTCAGCCTTCCTAAGGTCCAGCTCTCACATCCGTAGGTTACTACAGGGAATACCAGGCTTTGACTAGGCGGATCTTTGTTGCCATTCTGATGTCTCTACTCTTTACTATTTTATCGAGATTGGACATTGCTCTCCTCCCAAGAAGTAAGCGTCTTCTGATTTCCTGGCTACAGTCTGCATCTGCAGTAATATTTGCACCTAGAAATACAAAGTCTGTCACGGCCTCCACGGTTTCTCCCTCTATTTTCCAGTTGTCACATGGGAGAAGGCTGGTAGCCATGTAGTGGGTGGCTTTCACAGTGTTCAACCTTATTTCTCTCACATTTAGCAGCAAATTCCCATCGCACATGGGGGGGGGGGCAATTCCAGCTAGCTTATAGAGTTTATTAACAGGTGTAGGTTTAAGACATCCTGTGATTATTCTGCATGTTTTGTTCAATGTTATGTTCAATGTTATGTCTTTAGTCTTCCCTGTCAAAGTGTACTAAACTACAAATCTCAGGATGCCATAGCATTAAGCCAGGGCAATTTAAATAGTGTCAAACTGCATCCATTCTGCCGTGGTGATGCTTTATGCTTCGTGTTTTCCTAATTTGGTACCCACATCTTCCACCAACCTATTATTATTATTATTATTATTATTATTATTATTATTATTATTATTATTTGAACATGACAGCAAACAAGGTCACTATGCTTCTATTGGATCACACGTGGGACACTTCCCAAGTGTCTAGGACTGTGTGATCATCATCATCATTATTATTATTATTATTACTACCCGCCACATTGTTGTAGTCAACCTTTCCTTTCTCTTCCTCTCCTCCTTCCTCCCTTCCCTTTTCCTTTCATTCTTTCTTCCTTCATTCTCTTCCTCTTTCCTTCCTTCCCCCCTTTTTCTATCCCTGCCTCTTTCTCCGCATTCTTCTTTCTCTATCTATTCTTGGACTGCAACTCCCATCAGTCCTCCTGATCAATCAATGTCTACCTATCAATCTCTATCTACTCTATCTATCTTATCTATCTGGAGGATTGCTGGTAGTTGCAGTCCAGGAATAGGAAATGGGAAATATGCAGGGGGTTGGGATGCTCTCAAAGAAATCCAAGGAGAAGAAAGCTTGCGTCCTGAAAGCAGCGCATTTGGATCCCCCTCCTCTCCTAAAGGGCCTGGTCTAGGAGATGCTGGGCGCTGTAGTCCAGAAGAGAGTGTAGATATGCTATTGTGTGTCTTGTTTGCCAGGGGGAGTCGTTTTTGCGCTTGTGTTGTAGCATCTTTTTGCTTTTTTTGGCTTTTTAAGTCCCTTCTGCTGTGCTTTTCAGTGTTTTTATGAGCAATGGTCACTCGTTGGCCTGATAGGCGTACTGTGTCCAAATTTCGTGTCAATTGGTCCAGTGGTTTTTGAGATATGTTAATCCCACAAACGAACGTTACAATTTTATTTATATAGATCATTATTCAGCCTTTGGAAACGAAGGAAACGAATCAAGGAATCTGGAGGAAGGGAAGAAACTTGCCCATGTGTGATGTCTTTCTA